TGTTTTGTTCCGTAAACTTCTCTCTACATCAAAAATGATCGGCTTATTCTGTAGACAGTATCAGTTAGGAGCGAAAGATGTGCGCATTTCGCGCTTTGCCTTCGATCAATACACGGCAGTAACGATTAAGATATGGTGAAAATGACCTCAAGTCCAAGTCAAAATCATAGGTTCAGTGCAACGTACAGGCAGTTTTCGATTACGAAGCACCTCCAAAATTGCCTCCTTTTGTGTATCAACGTTGGAGAGTTGAGTAGCTGGAATGAAAGATAAAAGGCGATAGAGTGAATGGTGGCGTCTGTGGTCTTGCCGCCAATGCTACTAATAATGGCTTTTCGAAGGTACGTAAGACACGAATTACCGAATTTTCTCAGATTTATGCTATCACTTTGAATCCCAAAGGCCTCATCCACCATCTTCATCAACTTTCGTCACTTTCTCAGTTCATGAAATTTACATGCATTTTTCAAAAACTTGTGGTGAATAGCCGTGACTACTCCAACTCCCTGCACAACTCATTAGCTCTTACTCATAGACAGGTGGGCACATGAAAGTGACATCGACGTCATTATATCGCTAAAGCTAATTAATGAGGCGAACATACTCCGATGGACCAAAGTGGAATTTTGAAGGCCATGAGCGTAAAGCTTGCTCTCTTATGACTGACCTGTCAAAAAGTGTATCAAAAAAACCGCTAATGCCTGCGGACACTCACTTTCAGAGAACATTTTAAAGCAAAAAGCAATTATGCGAGTGCAACGAAAATGACAGAGACAAGCTCTTTGGCAGAGGAGAGGTAGCCTTCTGGATCAGCTCACCAAAGATGGGATGTGGAGTGAGGGTAGAAATGTGTAGTCGTAATTCCTTTGCCCGACGCACGGACTCCGCACTGGCCTTTGGCCGAGTTGCCATGTACTTCTTCAGAGCTCGCTTGCAGACTGTTGCAGCGGAAGCCTAAATGAATGGACAAGCTTGTTATGAACCTTACTGGGCCAAGGGCACGAAAAATTTTACAACACTGCGGCCTATTATGCCC